TCTTTGTGTCAGCTTTGGAAGCCATATTAGGCAGGAAGCTTCCATGCTGCCACCTTCTCATGTGTGGGAAAGTAGGAAGGGGGGATTTAGTAGAGGGGTTGTCTTTAGACATAATAGCATTCTTCCTGTCGGTCAAGGTCAAGGCAATCCTGCATTTGGAGAAGGAGTGGTCGGAGTTATGTCTCGAGATGGGACGGCTGTTGATTGGAGCATGTGATCGACAGAGGAGTGAGGGGAGGGTTTTGGGGGTTTTGATTTACTGAGGAAAAACCCAGACCTCTCAGATTTGGGTTTTCCAGATGTGCCAGTTTACCTATTGTAGTAAGTAGAACTTTGAAAAATGCTTGCTTCAGAGTTTTTACTTGGAGTTGAGTTTTTTTCTGGAAAGCTGACATTTTATATAGCTCTGGATAGAATCCAGTTTTGTTCAACACACAGAGCCATCTTCACATTTTAATGCAAAAACCTTTCTTATATTTATAAGCTTGCATTTTGCTTTATAAATCCATTTCTTTTCTTCAATTGCCTCTTTCACAAGCTTCATGTTGAACTGATATGTTTATTTATTGATATGTTTTCTCATGGTCTTGCAAAGTTCAATATACTCCAGTTTATTAGTGAAACTTCCAGTATTCTTCATCATCTGTCTTTTTTTCATTAAATCAATAGTTTCATTAGAGATTTTTTACTGTACAAAATGTTTTTTCACTGGTATTAGATATAGAGGATTTGAGGACTATTTGTTTATTTTGGTCCATAACATTCATCTTTTTCAAATCTTGCAAAGCAGTTTGTTAAATTAATCTGAAAATCGCTACTCTTCTCTAACAGTTTATCACTCTTTATTTTCGTTTTTCATGATATCTTTATCATTTTCATATGCTCTTTTTGGCAGTCTATCTTCACTTTATCTCGTACCATTCTATGGTCACTTCCAACATTAAAGCTGATGATAGTACAATTGCAAAATATGGTTTTATCATGATGTAGTCAATTTCACTTGTATACCCAGATGGACTCTTCCATGCCCATTTTCTGCTAGCCTTTTTCTTGTAAAACGAGTTCATGATATAAAGTTCCTGTCCTTCAGCAAAATCTATCCCTGAAGGACAGGAATGTCTTCTACTTTCTTTTCCCAAGTCATTCATTTTTTATTTGCAAAGTCTTTGTATTTTGTGATTTTTCTCCCTTTCTCATCAGTGCCTTTGTATGTGTTTGCTCTTAAAGCTTGCAGCTCTGTCTCTTTCTTCAACTTTCCTGCTCTCAGTTATTGCCTAATCTTGTTACTGTCTGCTTTGCCTGCTATTTTTAATATATATATTAAGGCCATATAATAATTTGTCTGTCCATGTCTCTATTCTGTTCTTATTTGGTATTTCTTGTAGGCCAGTTTGATCTCTCTAATATTCAGTAAGCCTTCCTGGTGCTCCAGCTTCAGTGCATCTTCTTCATTAACCTTCAGTTATTCTTTCAATACTCTTTTTTTTTCTTTAATAGTCTGAGCTACTTGTAACATTCTACATCCACCCATATTCCTGGTAAGTAGAGTCTGTCATAATTGCTATGTTGATGAAGGGTATGATTCCATTTTTGTTACCTTTCTAGTCTTCCTATCTGGGGTCTTTAGTTTTGTTTGAGTCCAGTCCACTGTTCCAGGTTTATATTTAATGACTGAAATTACCCAGGCGCTGATTACCTTTATGGTATTTCATCCACTGAGTTTGGACTTTAGGAACTTCTTCGCTCTCATCATGTATTCACTTCTAACCTTTTTCTTGACTTCAGTGTGCTTGATGATGTCAGCTTCAGGGATGCTCAGGCATTTTTAGTGATCATCTTCATCCAGAATAAGAATCACTTCCGCATTTTTCCATGCATCAGGTATTTTTTTTTCCTCTGAGGCATCTCAAATGTAGTTTTGCTAGTATCTTGTGTAACCTGTGACCATCAGCTTTCAGCATTTCAACCATAACACAGTCATTCCCTGAAGCTTTGCTATTTTTCATTGATTTTACTGCACTTGATATTTCCTCTACTAGGATGTCTGGCATTTCCTCTTTCATGGGTGTTGTTAATTTTGAATGATCTTGATATTTGTATTTTCCAAATATTTCTAACATTTCCTGTACACACAGACTCATCTTTTTTTTTTTTAATTTGATTTATATGCCGCCCTTCTCCGGAGACTCAGGGCGGCTTACAATGCGCTAAGCATTCTTCACATTTTAATGCAAACACTTTCTTATATTTATCAGCTTGCATTTTGCTTTATTAATCCCTTTGTTTTCTTTAGTTGCCTTTTTCACAAGCTTCATGTTAAACTGACCTGTTTCTTCTTCTTCTTCAGTATTTTTGTGCGATGACAAACAGTAATGGTGATAACGAATCTCTTTGAAATATTCCTCTCTTTTATTATTAACCTCTCCCATTCTCTCACCATTGATTAGCAATGTTTTTCTTTGTGCCATAAACCCTGGAAAAAGCTTCTGTAGTTTCTTTTGACTCATGTCATTTCTAAGCACTTGATTATCCAATCATGGGACATGGAGTCAAATGCCTTCTTGTATCAATCCATGCTACATTCAATTTGGTCTTGCTTCTCTTGCAGTTTCCCAGAATCATCTTGTCAACCAGGAGCTGAATTTTTGTTCCTCTGCTGTTGGGGCAGTTTCCTTTCTGCTCAGGTGGAAAGAGCTTGTTTTCAGCCAGAAGGTGTTGGATTGTATCAGCTACCACACATTAGCCATTTGAAAGTTGTTGGTAAGCAGGTATTTCGCTAGTAGTTGCCTGGTGCTCCCCTTTTGCTGGATTTTTCATTATCAGGTAGGTTTTGCCAGATGTTAGCCACTCTGCAATTTTATCTTCTTGCAGTATAACTGCTTGGCAATGAGTGGGCATAGACCAGTCAGATTTTTCAACCAAAAACCATGGTGCTGATCAATTCTTCTTTTATTTAAGCCTTTTAAAAAAATTCTTATCCACTCCCTTTAGCCAAGCTGTGTTCTTATTCTATTTCTTTGGGTTATCCCATGTCTGTACCCAGAACTTCATGGTGTTTTCCTTGTCAAGTGTTGATTGATTTGATACAATCTCTCAATTGATAGATTGGGAGGAATATTTCTGATTGGATTGAAATTGGAGATTCTGCCTGTAATGTGGAATTTGAACTTTATTCTGCTGATCTTCTTAGCTGTAGCTGTTATTTGCTGGTTTATTATTTCTAATGCTTCCTTAATCTTCCTTGTTTTCAGGTGACATTTGTTGATCCAATATTATTTGGTCTTGTTCTTCAGGTTCTCTTCTTTCATTTGTTCTACCCTGCTTGCATCTGATCACAGCTTTCTGATCTTATTTTCCAGCCTGAAATTACATTTTGGTAGTGTACCATTTGGCTGTTTTTCCTCTTTATTGATTTTGCATCCCAGGTATTCAGTTATAAATGCAACTATGCTGTATATTAGTTGGATTTTCTTGTACTGAGTTGCTGTTTATATTTGCTACTACAGTATTGGCATCTTTCAATGCTTGTGCTAGCTGTTTCTTTGGAACCTCTTTGGAGGCTTCAATGCTGGGAACCTTATTCTATGTTTGTGTAAGATGCTCAGTGATTCTTTGTTTCAATTCTTTTACTACTTTCATTAGAGAGCTTTGTTGTTTCTGAGGCAAAGAATAGAGTCCTGGTTTCTGAATGTAAACAATTCAATAGCTGTGCTGGCTTCTTCTACTGACAACTCCCCCTGGTTTGTCTTTACAATTTGAGTTACTTCTGCCAAGGGTGCTGGCCCTGGTTACTCAGTCAGAAGCCATGAGTCGTGGACATTTTCCGCCAAATGACCAGGAACTGCAAAACCTAACACAGTTCCTATAACCCGGGCAATGACTAAGCTGGTATGTATCTCTTTTAATTACATCTCATCATATTTTTTATGGCAGAGACACTGTTTGTCTGGCTCCTCTAGTGAGGAGGTTGGACATTTGGCCAGGTGGAACATATTAACTTGGCTGACAAGGCTGTTGGCCAAAGCACACTTGATGTCTTCTCCATGGACGTTCTTGAGTTTTTCTTTCTTAACAATCCAGGTACTCAGGACAGAAACTTGCAGGGCACAACCACCTGCATCACATTCAAATTGCTGGAAGCCTTTTCTTCACTTTGACTTCCAAACAAGAAGGGGATGCCAAAAGCAATTTCTTCAGGAGCGTATTTGGTGGTGAAGGAGAATTTTCACAATAAAGGTAGTCTTCATGTAAAAACTTCAAATGGTATCAAATTTGGACAAATTGCCACTGTTGTTATTAAATGAAAAGGTGTAAAAGGTGATGCCACACGACTGTATCTCTTAGCCACAGCAATCCAGCGGGTCCTGGTTGTCCCTGGTTGGATTAAGTTATAAACGGAGGGAGTCCCAAAAAGGACTACAGGTGTCTTTGAATTCACTGGATTAAAAAGAAGTAGGTCAGAATAGAATTACATTAGTACAATCCTGTATTTGAAGAGAAACCAGATCTTCCTATTTTGAAAAAAATATAAGTATTTCAATGAAAAAAACAACTAACACATTAAATTATATATCAAACAGCATTTTTATCTAATGAAAAGTAGTTAAATTAAAAGAGTCAATAATTTAAGCTGATGAATAACTTCTCAGCAAAACTTGGCAGGCAGAATATTAGCAAGATTTTTCATCACATTGGCCTTTAGAACAATTCAGCCAAGCGTATCAAGACAAACCATCTAAATTCTATTTCTAATGCCACGAGAGAGTGCATTCCATCTAAAATTTCTTATTTTATGTTATAGCCTAATTATAGGCCATCCTTGGCTCTTCCACATCCCTGGTATAGAATTCTGAAGAATTTGAAAATCTCAGAAAAATTCATAGAAAAATTGAGAGAAATTTTTTCTTTACCGTTTTTGCATGACTCCTATGTAAATCTCCTTTGAAATAACTGCCACTCAATATGATTATTTCACATTTGTTCAATAAACAAGGCACCTCATCTTTGTCTATGTTATATTTGGTTAAAGATTTTTGAATAGGAATACCTGGGAAATCCTGGGAATATTCTTAGATTCCAATTGCTCTCATCTTTCCCTCTCTTCTCAAATGTGGAAGATTTCACTGTTGTAGCAGAAGTACAGATAGTAGCAAAAATTTAAGTTAATCATGAAAAACTCCAATATGAAATCTTAATTCAGCAACATTTCTCAAAGTTTTCCCATTTCACTAGATCTCATCTTGGACTTTAAAATATGAATTTCAGTGGTGTTCTTTGATTTGATTTTTAAAGCTTTCTGAAAGTAGGGGCCCATTTGCTTACACTATAGCTGTCAGTCGAAGGATTTTCCCCCAGTCCCTCAAACTGCAAGGAAAACTCTTAGTGTGTAGTGCAAATCTAATCTCATGACTGCTGAGGCCTACTCATGCCGAAATCAATCCCTATTTTAAAATGGCAAAGAAATGTTGGGACTCATACTTTAGTCCACTTGTTTTAACAGCAGCAGATATTAAACACTTGGCATATAAAAATCATGGTGCCAAGATTACTGCAAGTCCTGATGAGTTTCTTTAAAAAGGGAAATGATACAATATTATTTTCTGCATTGTTGTTTGTTTTATCAATTTAAGCTTAAAAAGTATAAACATTACTTTAGCATTCAGATTCACAAAAATATTGCCTATATTCAGAATGATGCAAAGACATATATCAAAATACTTACTCCGTCTCTACTATGATCTATGGTTGGGAATCGTCATTTCCTTGATTGCAATACAAAGTGAAATGGTTGCACTTAACACCTAGATACTGTAAAAGAATAAACATTGTGTGGCAAAATTGATTTTATTTTTAGTACCAAATGTTGCAAGATAATTTTTCTACAGAATAAAAATATGTAATGTTTTAAAAATTGTATCATTTACCTTTTGTATGCAATCAGATTTCTCTTTTGACTGTTCTCTGGCAGAGACTGAAAAGTGTTAAACAAATATTTTAGAACGAAATAGAGAGTCATCAATTGAAACACGTCTATTTCTCTCCAAGAAATGGAAGGACAAATCTTACTGTCATGGTCTTCCCCAGACGGGTAGAGATACGAGTTGGGAGCAGACATCATCAATTGCCTGCTCCTGAGCTCTTACCAATTCTTTCTTTTTCTCAGTTTTTTTTTGAGACCTCCTGTAAAAAGAAATTGATGAAGTACAATCAAAATTAACTTTTAATGCGTTATAAAATCTCACTTAAAGAGGTTGCTCTAATTTTGTACTATCACGTACGATACTTACAATCTTCACTCTGCTGATGACTTTCTGGTCCTTTTCATATTTCTCCTTTAACACCTCATACTCCCTTTCCTCATCTCTGTCAGTATCTCCTGGCAAAAAAAAAATAACAAAAGAACTGGATCTTGTATAGTCAAAGATGAAATAAATCACTTTTCTTTTTAGAATGAAAACTATTAAAATGTTGTTAAGTTAAAATAATACTCACTTTCTGGATTATCTTTCATTTTGTTCTGCAGCTCCTTGTTCTCCCTCAAAAGCCAAGACATTTCGCTGGCTAAACAGTTGTTCTCCTCTTCCAACTAAAGTCAACTCAATTTTGAAAGAAAGGATTCTAAACATAGAAGGCCAACTGGATTTTTTAAAAGTACACATATGGTAGATTTTCCCAGTTATGAAAAAAAGGATTAATAAGAACAAAAGTTCAGTTGGATCCCGTATGCTAATCTTATTTAGAGAGTTAGAGTGAATCAGCTAGTTGATCCTGATGTCTCTCTAACATAGCATGAAGACCCGCACTAACCATTGTTAAGCAACAACCCTCCTGACTTCACCTGAATTGCACCTCTAGCCAGCTGTAGCTCCTTCCTTATTTCCAGTAACTGGTATCACTAACCTAGCACATGGCAGAATCACTACAAGTTGCTCTCAACTTCCTACTCTTGTAAGCAGTCCAGGATGATTTGGTGAAGCCCCTAGAAATGTAAAAGAATCAAGAAAGGTGCACTTCCCCAACCAGGTCCTGAGCCTGTCATCCACCAGAGGCAACCAGTGCTGTTTCTGCCCAAGTATTGAGCCCCACCACTTTTTCAACTATTTCCCTAAAATAATTGGCGAAGAAGCAAATAGAATGTTGAATCCTGAACTAATCCTAGAGTTACACATGCAAGTTGGCAAGTAAATAAATAAATAAAACAGAAGATCTCTTACCTCAAAGAGGAGTTTTCCCTGCATAAAATAGGAATGTCTCCATCCCTAATGCCCTAAACTAAACTAATCCTAAAATAAATATAGCAGTAAATATAGTAAATATAATAAATATAGTAAAATATAGTAAATATAATAAATAAATATAAGTATAATAAATAAATAACAAATAAATAAATATTGTGTGTAAATGATTCTAATAAGTAGATTAAATAAGATAAATAAGCAAGCAAATAAATACTGAAAAGTTAAATAAAGCCAAAATGTGATTTAAGCTACCACTTGTCAACACGCCCACAGAGAAAAACTCATCAGTGAGTAATTTTTATTCAGCCCACCCAAAGATTTTATATACCTCCCCTTTGTGACCTCATCTACTTGTCAACATCATTATGAAGCATCACCTCACAAAGGAAAAGCAAAGCAAACTGATGGGCTGAATGAAGGTTACTCAGAGTTTTATTTGTTTTTCAATATTTCAATATTTTTCAATATTGATAAAAGTCAGTACAAAACAAGTACCTGTTGATGTGTTTGGTGGAATCAGAGTTTTAGCTAACAAGAAAAATGCTATAGAAAAAATAGTGCCGCTGAAGAAAGCAGGGAGATATCTGGAGAAATATGCACAATTTAGAAGGAAAAATGGTACAGAGGAAAGAATTGGAGAGATTTCTGTGCTCTTGCTCCACCATACTGTACTTGCCTATTATTCTTGGGGGGAAAAACTTCAAGACAAACACAGTATTCAAACTTAATTCAGCAACAGCACTTTATTTTCTGCCTGAGCTATTGATATACATACTGCAATATGTTGCATGACTGTTATTTACTGTGAAACGTGGGAACTTTTCTTCATGTTTTTCTGTCCACAGCAGAGCCTTTTGGATGATTAGAATACATGACAGAAAATCTATTATGTTTAGGGAGCATCTGTGTATTGAGCATTTAAACAGAAAGCATTCCTATGTTAAACTGAGTCATGATGATGTCATTATTTAATCCATGAAACACACTGAATCTTAATTACAGAGGGTGGGTTTATGCAACAATCTAGATTTGTGTTTATTAGCTAGTTTGTGGAACAGAATGTGATACCTATTTATTGTGGTCAGATCTCACAATAAAAATGCTGCCCACACCAAATTAGGTAAGTCTGGATGACCAACAATAGCCTGAACTGTTTTTTTTAATAAAAAATATTATTAACTGAATGCAAAAAACAAAGAAACATACACAAAATTATAAAAGGGAAAAAAGGGTAAAAGAGAAGAAGCATGGAAGATGTGTATTTACAGACAACAAATTGATGCCATAATTCTTTGCAGACATCCATAGCTGTAGTAATCAAAGTTTTGGAATCATAAGTTTGTCTTTCTCGTGCTGAACCACAAATCTTTTGATTCTTCTTTGTCCAAAAGTAAAAAATAAAGTGTTAATTTCACATCTCCAATGACAAATGATATAAAATCATTTCAAAACCTCATTTGTTATTGGAAAGGCTATAATCTAAAAAATTCAAACAGATTTTTTAAAATCTGTCTATTATTGGTTAAGACATGCAAGCAAAGCAAAAACGAAAAAGAATTATATGTACATATCTAAAGAATTTCTTTTAAAAATTACAAAAACAAAAGGGTAATTTAAAATGAATAAAAAGAGCATTCCAGTAGCAACTTTCCCTTTCTCCAACCCCTCTTTTCCCCAGCTATTGATTGTTACTTGCATATTTTAATCCTACTTTGGACATTATTAACTCATATCCAGATCATTAATTGTTATTATTACTAGTGAAACAAGATCCCGGTACACTTTTCCCTTCATACAGAATCAGTAATTGAAATCTGAGAATAAAGAACATTTTACCCAAACTTAGGCCATTATAACTTGACATAGCATCAGCTTTCCTCTCTCCCACCCACTTCCAGATGAATTCAGGACTACAAAAAAAAAAAAAAATGACATGACAATGTCAAATGTAACACAGCGTTTAAGTTTGCAGCTTATTGTCAACAATAACATCAGTGGGACTTCTTGGGTTTGGTTTGGTTTTTTACTTCCTAAATGTCATCTCCCATAATTCTCTGGTTTTCAGAGTACAAGGTATTGGTCTCCTTCTCCTCAGCTTTGGGGATGCAAAGCCTGAGAGGAATGGTAGCTAAGTGTTTCCAGGTCCTCTATTGGTTGAGGGGGAAAGTGCTGCTCTGTTCTCTTCTGCCTTTAACAGGGTTATTTTAGGTCTGCATTAAAAGGCATTGCCCATTTATTTAAGAAGAGCCTCTATACCACGGGTGCCAAACTTTGGCCCACATGCCGGATGCATAATGTGCTGGCTCTGTCCCCGCCTGGTTTAGTGAAGGGGAAAAAAGTCCTGATACGTCATGAGATGCCGCCATGACGACATGAGTTTGACACCCATGCTCTATACACTACAGTGGGAAGATTGGATTGGCTGTGCTATTCTACCTTGTTTTCTGGTCCAAGTCAATAAAAAGGGGTGAAAGATAAAGAAGTAAGCCCAGAGTAGCCCATATAAGTTAGGAATGTTTGCTTTCCTTTCCCCTTTCCACTCCATTCTTTTCTGAGCTCATTCTGGCCTCAGTGATTTCCCTGTCCTTCACCTACACTCGAATGTTGCCCTTCGGTCATGGCTGGTCAGCAACTTCAGTGTAGTTTCAATCAAAATTATAGAACATAGCAGTGGTGAACTGGTTCTGTGGGCGTGGCTTGGTGGGGATGGTGTGGCTTGGTGAGTGTGGCAGGGAAATGGATACTGCAAAATCTCCATTCCCACCCCACTCCAAGGAAAGGATACTGCAAAATCCACATTCCCACCCCACTCTGGGGCCAGCCAGAGGTGGCATTTGCTGATTCTTCGAACTACTCAAAGTTTCCGCCACTGGTTCTCCAGAACCTGTCAGAACCTGCTGGATTTCACCCTGGAACATAGTTTTGATCTTCTCCTGCATTAACTTTTTGACATAGTGTCCTCAAGTACTATTCCATTAAACAATTTCTGAAAGCTTTAAACTTTTTAATACTTTGTATTATTCCTCCGGTGTCTTTCAGATAAAAATCCTATGAGACTCTGTTTCATTTGCAAACCTCCGTTATTATTTGCTTAATTCCTTATCTTCAAGAAGCAAAGCAAATTTTGTTTTATTTTTAGCTGATATTTTCCTCCCTACAGACATTTTTTCTCCTTTGTCTTGTCTAATCAGTAGTGCTTTGTTGGTAGTAAATTACTAAACACTGTTGACTTTGGACATACATTATCCAACTTTACACTGCCTGTTAATAGCATAAACAGTAACTTAAAATATCCTTTTGTTCGGTTCTTCAAAGATTTAAGGGGTGAGAGTCAATGTTGCAGAGAGTTCAAGACAATGGGAGCAACTGGGGTGAGGATATAGTAGCTGAATCTGTCAAATTTCTACCCCCACCCCACTCCTCACATTATTGTCTAAAACAAACAACACTCAATTCTTTGCATTCTGATAATAAAAATATGTTGGTGAACTTTCAGAAACTCCTTATAAAAATATGAAGTGAAATAAATGCCGAGTTGTCTTTAGGAAGCAAATTCAATTACTACAGCAATTTTTTGTCATCTTGCTACTGCCTGGGTTAGGAATCCGAACTTCCAAGAACTTCCTCTATTCATACATAGACGAGGAAACCTGATGTAAAATATATTCCAGGATTACAGAGTTTCAATTAAATACCGAACATACTTTTTCTTTGGAGTTTAAGTTCCTTTGGCTTGTTGATATCTTTTGTCCAAGAGGGAATATAGAATATAAAATCAGCAATATACTTGGAGAGAGAAGAACACTCTTTTCCAAAGGATATGTGCATTACCTCCATATGTACTACAAAACCTTTAACCTTAGAACAAAAGTGCCTTAATGCTACCCATTGAGGTTTATGCTAACCATTAATATAATTTAGTGTCAAACATTAGTAACAATAGTTGCACAACATATTATTTAATAAGTTTCATCAATATTGGATCAGCAGCAATTGTGACAAAACCCATGAAGTATATAAAAGAGATAGATAGATAGATAGATAGATAGATAGATAGATAGAGATACACACAAACACATATACATACAGTATATCTATCTATCTATCTATCTATCTATCTATCTATCTATCTATCTACCTATCTATCTATCTATCTATCATCTGTGTGTAAATAGATAGATAGATAGATAGATAGATAGATAGATAGATAGATAGATAGATAGTTGTTGTTGTTGTTATTAGTCACAAAATTGTGTCTGACCCATCGCAACCCTATGGACAACATTCCTCCAGGCCTTCCTGTCTTCTACCAACCACCGGAGTCCATTTAATCTCACGGATAGATAGATAGATAGATAGATAGATAGATAGATAGATAGATAGATATAGGTATAGGTATAGGTATAGGTATAGGTATAGGTATAGGTATAGGTATAGATAGAAATAGAAATAGAAATAGAAATAGAAATAGAAATAGAAATAGACATAGA